GCTACTCCATCAACAGACTACCAGGAAAAGCAGATATTAAACAATTTTACAATATTAATTAAGTTCTAATGCATTTACCCCCTAAAGAAGAAACAAAATTTACATGGTTGATTGTAGACAGCATAGAGGTCAAACCTAGTCTAGGAGGACAGTCAAGGCTACCTGGAGGAATGGTTAGGTTGGGTATTACCTTGACAAATAGTAGACTTGGAAGTAAAGAGATTTCCTGAAAGAAACAACAATGAATTGAGGGTGGAAATGAGTCAACACGGGAATAAGGAGAGTGGGGTGGAATTTATGGGTGTTCCAAGCACATGCAAGAACACTGAAGCCAAAAGGGCCATGTTGAGTTTTCAAGGAAGTTTTAGAAGACCCATACATTATAGTTGCAGTGTTAAGTATCAGGGGAAAATTAGGGAGAAGTCACATATAGACAGGCTGCATCAGTAGTATATTTTTCTCTACGCAGTGGGTGTCCAATGACCTAAGGGGTCAGCCTCATGGATTAATATAGCACTGCACGTCAGATAGATTGGAACAAGAAAGAGAGTGAAGAGAAAGTCATTTCTTACTCTCCTGCATTAGGTAAGAAGTACTTAGAACCCAGCCTGGCACATTGCTTGAATGAACATTCTTGTATTTGTAATCAGTGGACTGGTTACAACAGCAAAGGGAGAAGATGGTGACAAAGACTACTGACTCCAGATGCCCTGATGACCACAATGATAGCTAAAGAAAGAACAGACCACCTAAGCTCTTAGGAAATAGATGGAGAGGAAAAATAATACCATTTTGGACAACTTTGGTTTGAAGTAGCAGCTGTCCAAGAGATGTACGAGATCATGGGCAATTAACAGGAAGAATACTGTCAAAGTCAGCTGCAGACTTCTGCTGAATATGTACCTTCTTGACAGGATCTTTGGTTACATATGGCAAACTGAGCAAACCAACAAGCTTAGTTCTCATAGGTTTATCAAACTCCACAGTGAGCCAGATACTTTGACAGAAGCTGCTTTGTAATAGTGCGTAAAATAGATGTGGTAACTGCTTACAAGGTAATTACAGAATATAAACATACAATCAGGTAAGGAAATGTACAGTTCCAAGTTATACTAAGTACTACCAAGGAAATGAACATAAAGAGCCTATCAGAGGTGCCCTCATTCAGGGGAGGATAGAAATCAGAGAGCTCTCTCTAAGCAAATGATATTTACACTGTGGCCTAAGGGATGAGTAGCAGTCAAAAACTCTATGTGGGCCAACTCAGTGGCTCATACCTGTAATCTCAGCACTTTGCGAGGTTGAGGTGGGCAGATCATTTGAGTCTAGGAGTTCAAGATCAGCTTTGGCAACATGGGGAATTCCCATCTCTACAAAAAATCCAAGAATTAGCCAGGGCATGGTGGTGTGTGCCTTGTAGTCCCAGCTACTTAGGAGGCTGAGGTGGGAGAATCACTGGAGACCGGGAGGTCAAGGTTCCAGTGAACCATGATCACACCACTGCACTCCAGCCTGGGTGACAGAGTGAGACCCTGTCGAAAAGAAAAAAAAAAAAAAGTCAACCCTGTGAGTTTGTGTGTGTGTGCACATGTGTGTGTATGCGTGTTTAGGGGGTTAGAGCTGTACAGGGTTACTCAGCAAAAGAACAGAATAATCCCTAAGATAGGAAAGAGCTCAACAAATCTTCAGAAATGAAAAAGGGCCTAAGAAACTCTTGTTCCAAAAAGCTTGCTAGGAATTGTCGAAGAGACAGAAGTGTTTAAATCCTACGCAGCCTTGCAGGTAATATTTAATAGTTTGGATTTTATTCTGAGTGCAATGGAAAGCCATTTAAGCATTCTGAGTAGTTGAGGACTAATTTAACTTACATTTAAAAAAAAAAAAAAAAAAACTGTCTTGGCTGCTATGCAGGATGATTTGGGGGAAGAAGTATGAAAGGAGCCAAGGAAGCCAATGTAGCTATCCCAGGAGAGAAGATGGGGACTTGGACAAGGAGGATGTGGGTGAACATGGAGGAAAGTGGGCGAATGTGAGAAATATTTCAGGGTTAGAACTAAAAGGACACATAAGGTCTGAGTTGTACTAGTTCCCCAAAATAAAAGTACTTGAAGTATTGTGATGGTGTCAAGAATTATTTACCCGATTAAAACAGTATACTGACAGCTTCATTTGTTAGTAATATAATCAAGCGGTTTTGAAATATGGATCTCATATCTTAACATCTGAAAGGTAATCAAAGTCAAGGGACATAAAAAACAAATGGGACAAAATTGTTCTCTTGCTTTAGAACATAGAAAATTTACAAGCTGAGTTATAAAGGCACCTAAGAGAGTGCTATGGAATCACTATAACATAGATAATCTATTTCTTCAAATGCCAATATGTCTGCAACAAGAAATATGCAAACTCACTGAATTATTTTATCCTACTTAATAAAATAGTCATTTTTCCTCATTCTTTGCAAGGCAGGTTCTTGCGCAGTAAAGATTCTACAAATATTTACATTCCAAGTAGCAAAGCTGTTTGAAATGCTATAAAGTTCTGCCAGCACTTCTATTACAAACCCTTATTTCTTGTTTATAACATGTACATAAAAGGGGGAAAATAAAAATGTACTATGGATTGAAACTTGGCATACAAAGTTTCAACCAGGGACTGCATTTCTCCTGCAGCAAATTTTCCAAAGAAATGTCCCACTGTGTTTAAGAGAAGAGTGCAGGGGAGACTATAAGACAAAAACCATTTACAACACTTGAACCATTTCTGAAATGTTTATACAAATTGGATATGAGACTGAGATCTGTCACCCCTCAATTTCAAAGAAATGTTCTATCTTAAACTGTTCCATGGCCCCATATTCTCTTGCCAACCATCTTTGCAACAATGATATACTCCATTGCACTTTTATCAAGCATAAGAAAGGAAATAGTCCACCAGCATTAAGTGATTAATTATGCATGCATGTTAAAATTATATGCATATGCATGTGTGCATGTTAAAAACTACAAGTGAGCACCTTAAAGATGCTCACCTTCATAGAGACAAAGTACTTTGCTAAAGTAAGAAGGCTTAAAGGCAGACTGGTGGTGACAACTAAATCAGAGACAGTAGGCAAGCATGCACAGCATCAATAAATCCTCCTGCCATCTGAATATATTCCACTACATAAAATTAATATAATTTTTACCGCTAACAACTTACTAAATGGTGATTGGAAACCAGTCAAAGCTTCTCTGTTTTGTAGCATTGCCACAATATAGTGATACACATATCTGGCAGTTTACAAGGGGCAATTATATCTATATACTATTTCAGCATGAACCATATTAAGAGTTAATGAGAACTTCAAGTTGGACACTTAAATTATGCAGTAAAAACAAAGCTGGAAGATGTGTACTGAATACGTGAGAAGGAGTTAGGAACTTGTAAAAGAGAAAGATGCATATTTTGCAAGCAGAGCAAAGAGGCTATTAGTTTGTAATAACTAGGCATATATGAAATGTGACAGTGATAAAACTGAACATAAATCAGCAAAGGAAAGGCTACAGCTCGTTGTCCACAGCTAATCTTTGCTCTACTTGAAACTGCTCAGCACTTTGCTCCTATTAAATGCTTTGTTGCCATTTTAAGGTACACTTGGGCTATCTGGTTGTGTTGTGAAGGATATTTAAAAGTTAGAGTTCTCCTGGAGAAATGAACTTAACACCTTCATGTCTTCGGGCTGACATTAATGACATCCAGACAGTGAGGAGGACATGAGGCTGAATGTTATTGTCTGTGGCAGCCACAGCCTGAATCTATTACCTACATATCAATTAGCCACTCGGTGTCTCGGCTATCCTACTTTTAGACAGAAGGGCCACTTGCATGCATTCAGCCTTACTATTCATCTTATAAAAATGTACAGCAATTTGCTATATTTCCCTGGTGGGCACTGATCATTTTGGGGGTCCTCAAATCACATGTTGACTCTCAACTAATTTCAAGCAAGCATTCAAAGATCAATAATTCCTGACCCCACTCTTTACTATTTGCAAGCAAGCATCCTTCCATTTGGTGAGGCTGAACCCGATCAGATTTCTTTAATGAACATTCACAAGAACCTGTCCCACTGCAACCAATGACATGCACGTATTAGGCATCTTACAAATGTTGCACAAATTGGTATGAATCTTAACCTGCAGGCAAATTCCTCCCTAGTCCCATGACCCACAAATGGTTAAAACCATGAACCAAGATGCCAGGTTACTGCAGCCAAAGTCAGGTTACTGTTAGTAAACACATCTAGCAAAGCAAAATTAACACATTTGACTTGATATTGAGATATAAGCTCTTTCAAAAGCAATTACTCCTCCTTTCAATCTCTGAAGGGCTCTGACTCATTGTTCTGATTAATTCCTGTTTTTAATCTATTTACAGATCAGGATTCTTTTTCAGCTAGTGTGATATTCATCTCTGTGGGGGTAGACAGAAACCACAGCACGTACAGTCTTCCTACTTTTTTTTTTTTTTTTTTTTTTTTTTTTTTTTAGTTATTCTTGCTTAATCATTTTTAAATTATTTCTGGATTTACCTACTCACCATATGAGCTGGGGTTTCTGACCTCCCTCCTGCACATCACTCCCTCCTTGTCTGTTGCTTTTTCTAGCTCTGTTTCCCCGCATCTTGGGTTGAGGTGAACAGACTGGCTACCCCTTTCCCAGAGCTCTGTTCCCCTTTCTTTGCCTCTGAAAGGAGGTTTGCTGTCCTTACCATAGCGGGCACCATTTGTTATTAAATAATTCCTCTGGGCACATCTCCTTGCTGTAAATCAATAAGGAAATGCAATACAGGGAAGGACATACGGATTGGAGAGCTGTACGGAGCTTTGCACAACCAGAGCCCAGAAGCTGTTCGTTCATTTCACGCGACCAAAAAAAAAAAAAAAAAATTCCTGATGGTGCTATGACTTGGGTGCCCGGTTGGCACTTCCTGGTTTTCTCTTTCTGGTATTCTGTTACCTGCTTGGTTAGCTTTGCAGGGCTCCTCAGAGAACACAGAAACAGCTGAAACCAGGGTCCGAGTTCAGGAAACCTGGACTACAGCGCATCAGGGTAAACCTGGCAAATAAACGCGACGGGGAATTCTGTCCCAAGCTGCTGATCTGTGAGTAGAAAGAAAATGCAGCTTAGAAAACTTGATCGCTAATGAAAGAATCCTCCACCCTAGCTTTCTCAGACCTGGGAATCTGGGCCTGGGGGGTGGTTCCGGCAAAAAGGTATCACATTCCCACATCCTGCATCACGCACCTGGAATTGTTCCTCAGCATCCCTACGAGTCACAACTTTTTTCCCCCAACTTTCACTGGTCAAATCCACCGCGCAAAGAGTAAGCCCGAGGGACCCACCACTCAATTTTCCGCGCTCCCGCTGGGGAATGCAGCCTTCCCAACCCGAAACCAATCCTCGCCCCAGAATGGGAAAAATAATTTTCCCGAACCAAGTCAGCTGAGAGAAGCATCTTTTTTTCCTTGACCCGTCGGGTGCATTTCCCTGCAAACAAACTTTGGGGCTGAGGAGCCATAAAGCGAGTGCGTAAAGTTTGCCTCTGCAGGTGGCTCATCCCTGTGGCCCGGCCGGCGCCAGGAAACGGGCATGCCGGACTCACCTGCTCTCTGCAGCTCGCCAGACGCCAGCCCCGCTGGCCCACCCGCCGCCGCCGTTAGTCCGGGCCCGGGGGGCCGCCGTGCGCGCCCGCGTAAGCGGCCGCCGCCACCGCCGCAGCGCCCTCGTCCGCACGGTTCCCGGCCCAGCCCCTGGCGCCAGCCCGCCAGCCGCTGTCGCCGCCGCCGCCGCCGCCGCCACGCGCCAGGCTGCTGTGGCTGCTGCCGGCGCCCAGCGAGCGCTGCCTGCGCCTCCGCCACTCCGGCTCCGGCTCCGGTTCCGACGCGGAAGCTGGAGGGAGGGGAGACGGGGCAGACTGGAAGGAGGGAGGGGCGCGGAGCGCAGCTGAGCAGCCAACTGGGTCCTGTGCCTCGCGTCTGTGGCGCCCCTCGCGCCTCTGCGCCGGCCGGACCCCGCACCGCCCTGCGCTCGGCCGCGTGCACCCACGTGTGTCCGGCCTCCGCAGGGTCCTGGGCGGCGGCGCGGGATGGGCGGCGGTCACCGTGTCACCTCTGGGTGGCCTCGTGCCACACAGTTGGGGCCCGGGGAGCACGGGGTTAAGGCAGGAATTCCACTCTAGGAAAACCTCCTGCAGCTGCGCTCCCGTAAGTGCGCAAAGATTGCCAATTTTAATATTAAAGCGGATAATTATTAAGGGCTCACTATGTAGCAGGCAGTGGACTGCGCTATTTAAATGAATTAGTTCATGCAGTCCCCAGAGCATCCTGGATCTATTATTATTCCCGGATTTAGTGATGAGGGAATTGATTTGCCTAAGGTTTCAATGAGTCAGTTGTGAGAATAATCGCAATTATATTCTGTCAAGGACCCTATGAAGTAGATCTTACCACCTTAATTTGCCCAGGTATACACACAGCGGTGAGTTGGAGAACTCGGACTTGAATAAGCCTGTTGAAGTCCTGAGCCTTTGCGCTGAACCGCCGCTGACTGACTTCCAGTCAAACCCGTGCAAACACTGCAACTTCACTTGTACGAAAAACAATTGGGAACAACCTACCTGTCCTTCATTAGGAGAGTGGCTGATAAAATACAGTGGAGACAAACAGCGGCAGAGAGAAAGGTGCATCTACTAGAATTGGCATAAATGACCTCCAAGAGGTATCCTTAGAGGCTGGGCAGAGGTGGGTCACTCCAGTAATGCCAGCACTTTGAGAAGCGAAGACAGGTGGATCACTTGAGCCCAAGAGTTTGAGACCAGCCTGGGCAACATAGGGAGACTTTGTCTCTACAAAAAACAAAAACAAACAAACAAACAAAAGTTTAAATTAGGTGGGCGTCATGGCACGCACCTGTTGTCCCAACTACTCGGGAGGCTGAGGTGGGAGCATCACTTGAGGGATCACTTGAGCCCAGGAGGTGGAAGCTGCCATGATTGTGCCACAGCACTCCAGCCCAACAGACTAAGGGAGACCCTGTCTCTAAATAAATAAATAAATAAATAAATAAATAAATAAATAAATGGTATCGTTAGGAGAACGTGGGACATGTACTGTTGATTGGCACAGGAACGTTGGTACCTGTACCGGTTTTGTGCTTACACACACACACACAGACACACACGCTTTTATGTGTATGTATCCATATTTATGCATTCACAATTTCTAAAAGGATGTCTCAGGATACTGTTAACAATTGTTAGCCCTGGTGAGTGAGACTGAAATTGGGGCAGAGGAGACTTTATACTTTTCATTTTATAATTCTTTGACATTGTTTTAAAAATGTATCATGTTGTCACTTCATATTAAATAATCTAGTCACATTTAATTAGACTTGAGAGTTTATGGCCCTGTTTCCTCTCCTTGATCCTTTTCCCATGATTCCTGCAGATGGAATGAAGCACCACCTCATCAAGAGCAGCAACCTGGGCAAACCAGACCTGATTTAACTGCACTTTCTCACTCTTGATCATTTTCTCAAGAGATACGTGTGTGGTCCCCTGCAATTCCCAATGAAATTTGAACTTCTGGAAAAACTCTCTTAGAGGGGGTTTGATGACAAGAGGTAAGACCCAGGTCAGTCAGATGCAAGGTGCCGCTCCCTACAGCAAAGTCAGCATGTAGGCCCCCTGCATTTCCAATCACCACTAAGAAGTTGCTTGGTACTTTGGGAGACCGAGATGGGAGAATCACTTGAGCCCTGGAGTTTGAGACCAGCCTGGGCAATACAGTGAGACCTCCTCTCAACAAAAAGATTAAAAATTAGCTGAGCATGGTGGTGTGTGCCTACAGTCCCAGCTGGTTGGGAGGCTGTGGCAGGAGGAGATGGCTTGAGCCTGGGAGGTCCAGGCTGCAGTGGGTCATGATTGAACCACTGCACTCCAGTCTGGGTGACAGAGCAAGACCCTTTCTCAAAACAGAACAACAACAACAAAAGAAACTGCATGAATGGCTTGACCAGGTGGTGTTTCCCTAGTCCTCGTTACTCTATGAGCATACAACAGGATTCTTGAATACATTAGGGAACTTCTGGCCACATTTGCTCTCTCTCACTTTATCAGGAAACTGCTCATCCCTAAAAGAGTAATGGGTGGATTAAAAAAAAATCCGGGGTTATTTATGTTTTAAAAAGAGGTTGGGGGAGACAGGAATAGATAGAGTACACTGCTATAAATAAAAATAATGTGCTTTTTCCCATCAGAATTAAATTGCCGTAAATTTGGACTCCTTAAGGTTCCTCTACTTAGTCAAAGGAAAAAAAAAAAAATAGAACAGGTACAGAAAGGTTGTTTATGGTTGTTTCAGTTGTTATTGGTTACTGTAAATAATATTTTTGCCTGCAATCTGGGAACATGTTGGCAAACCCCCTGCGTGTGACAAAATGTTTTATTGGGTAGAACTGGTGTGTTCTGGAAGGAGCCGAGAGAACTTTACATGCAAATTATGCTCATGCCTTGCACCTAGCAGGTGCAATTACTGCCATGCCCACATCCATCACAGGCATGCCTCTTCTTTTAATATTTTCAACTTGATGTCTCCTAATACATTTTTCTTCTAATACATACATGTATACCTTGTCTAATGGGAAGGGAAAGAGCATTTTCATCAAGGAGGGGGAGCTGACCCCAGGCAGCAAAATGACAGGGAGAAAGACAGGAAAGAAGCTCCTTTAAATTAGAAAGAAATCTAAACCCTAACCCCTTCCAGCCCTCTCCAAATAATTAGTCATTTCTAAACTCCGATTACATTGCCTGTGCTAGTAAAAGCTGATTAGTGCTGGAAAGGGATTTAATGGAATTTTGAGTCTTATGGTTGCAGTGTGTGTGGGGGGTGGGGGGGCGATTGGTGGGGGTGGTTAGATCCTAAAAGTTGTAGAAGTAATGATGAACATTTAAAGTAAGCCACACTCTCATAGACAGGTAAAAGGTGTATAAATATATGTATATAGAGAGATGTGAATCATTTTATACCCTCCTTTTGCCCAAAATGTAAAGCATAATGTGAGTCAACTGAAAACCTGATATTTACCAAAAGTTGATACACAAAAGCAGGTTTCAATATAATTTCCATCCAATTTCTGGGCCGGAAGCCCAGGAAATTAAAAAAAAATTAAAGGCACATGTGGGTCTTCTCAGTGTGAATGCCGGATGGAATTTTTATTGAATTTGGCCTCAACTGATTGTAGCATTATAAGCAATTCTGCAGTTAAGTTTCAGCAGCCATTTAGATGGCAAATCCTTTTTTTAGGGTATTATAACTAAGAATAATAACTTCCTTTTTATGTGGCATCTTTTATATCAACCACTTTAAAGTGTGAGATCATCTTCCCATTATTAAGATACCCCATCTGTGTTGGAATATAGAAGCTATTTAATGCCAGTGACACCACGTAACAGTTATTTGTTTGCATGTTTATTGTGTAGCAAAGGGAAATGAAGAAAAATATCTACTAAACCCACAAACCGAAATTCTTAGGTAAAAGTGTCAATTGGAATATAGCCAAGCTACTAAGTTAAACATATAGTTTTCTATAAAAGGGATTAGGGAGTCTTAATTTCCACACATGGAAATACAAGTCTTTTGTTATCACCATGGTACTGATCTAAAGTTCTAGTTTATATCTAGATGCTGAGATTAAATGTTAGGGTGTATGAAGCTGTCATATTATCTCCATTGCTGGGGTGGATGGTTCTGAGAGGTTTTTTGAGTCAGAATAAAGAGTAATAGTAAGTTTTCAGCATCGAAATTGGAGTAAAGAAATAAGGTTGTTACAATAAGTGCATAATAGTGTCAAAAATTCTTTATATACATTCACATAAAATGCTTAGCACTATAATGGAACTTAGCTCCACATACTAATCACATAATAACTAATTCAGATATCGACTCATTTGTTTTCTTCTCTGAAGACGTTTGCTGAATTTCCCGTCTATAATAGCTGCTGTCATTCTCTTTACTTCATAGAGCAAATGGTTATGTGACAATTTTTTACATGTCTTTTTTTATTATTATTGCTGATTTCCTTCACTACAATGTAAGCTTCATGAAGGTAGGGGCTTTGTTTTCTGTACTGTTGCATTCAGAGCTCCCAGCACGAATCTGACATGTACATAATGGGTGTGCAGTAAATGTATATTCCATGATTGAGGAACTTCCAATATGCCAGGCACTGTGTTATTTGCTTATTCTCAGTACTTTGCAGTCTTTACAACAACTCCATGAAGAAACTACTGTTTTACCACCTTTTTACAGATGAAGGAACTAAGACACAGAAAAGCAAACTCATATATTTGGAAGCTCAGCCTTCCAAGGTTATACAAACTGTAATCCAGACATCTGATGCCAGAGTCTCTCTCTGTGCTGTACACCCCTGTGAGTTTAAATGGGTTTTATCAACCGTCTAGTGTAGCACTTCTCAAACTTTAATGTGCCTATGAATCACCTGGGGACCTTGTTAAACTGCAGATTCAGATTCAGCAGGTCTAGGGTGGAGCCTGGGACTCTGCATTTCATCCA